ATAGAGGTTAGTTCAGGTTATGTCTTGTAACTTATAAAAGGTTGTATCCAACGGGAGGACAGTTAAGCATCACCTGTAAAAAAGGTGTTAGTTTAAGTCATTAAGCTCCTCCTTTTTAGACATAACACCCTACAAAGAAGAATCTATCCTAATATACAAGTGCATGTCTCACATCCATTAAAACATGCAAAAAGCACTCAAGGTGTGCAAAACCTAGCATAGTTTAAAGAGCATTAACTATGTATGAAAGTCTATAACTACTCCCTAGCTCTAGTTCTATATATGAATGACAAGGTGTTGCTTATCTAAGTGCAAGACGTATATTGCAGTGTCTAAGGTTCTTTCTGTAGGGTCATAATGAAGTCACCAAGCTGGCCCGTCTTGAGTATCTGAATGAAAAACCCTCTTCACGACAAGTGATGGAGGTTTGCCCATGCCTATTTTTAGAATATTCCTACAAGATCTGTTCATAATAGAATAATTTATATTGTCCGACTGGGCAAAACAATAAGTAATGCTTATTTTCTTATTACAACCACAGGTCAAACTTAAAGCCTGGCCACTAATGTACTGACTCATGCAACCAAAAATTATAGAAAGAAAATGAATGCTTTACTTGGATGAAGTAAAACACTTGGCGCATAAAGATGCACAATGTACAAATTAAGTGCATGTAAAGCTACACCCCAAAAGGACACAAAAAAGCCATCATTATATGAGTAAGTAGCAAAGGCAAACCAATGTAACAAAAATATCAAGCGAGTGCAACAAATGTAGACTCTTAATCAAAATGCATTGTGTCATTCGACACATGCATAATATGACCATGAACAAGAAAGGTGGCACCATGGGGACGTGTAAACGATCCAACGGTGCTCACCTTCCATCCTAGAAAGGATGTCTGGTACAACCATGATAAAGCATCAAGCATGCAATAAAAGTGTAACAAGCATGCAACACTACAAATGTAAAAATGATATCCAAAAGACAAATCAAAAGACTTCAAACATACAGACGCTCACACTTGAGTACTGGCAAGACTTTAGCATTTTCCTACATGCTTCACTGGGTAGTACACAAAAGGTAAAAACGGAAGAGAATGAGCTTATACCGTGTCATGTCGATGAGCGACAAAAATGACTTAAGCCTAGCCAATTTATCGAACTAAGCAAAACTGCCACTCATATGGAAGGGTATATCAATGATTCAGAAGGGCGAGTCGCTAGGTTAGCTATCTATAAAGATAAAAGATCGTGGTGTTCAAAATAACTAGACTCGACAAAAAAATATGACCGAGAGAGCAAAAGTAGGTCGCCGCCCATACGAAAGGGTATACCAATGACCAAAAGGGAGATCATTACATTTTCTGACTTCTAATAATCGGGATACGATAATTCCAATCAAGTGAAAACTGGCGTCGACTAAACTACTAGTGTCTTGTATTCTCTGCACTGAGCATAAAGCAGGATATCGATTACATAAAACAACAAAGCGAGGACAAATATTCAGTTAAACTATTATGAAAAATGACGACAATAAAGCGAAAAACAAGATTGAGAAAAAATTGCAAACAGAAAAGCACAATGGAAACACACGGATTTACGTGATTCAGCAAATTGCCTGCGTCCACGGAGTTGCAGATGATTTTATTAGCTTGAGGAATTACACAGTCGAATGCCTCGATATTTACAAGAAAGACTCTCTCTCTCTCTCATCCTCTTCTCATCCTCTTTCTCCCCTCTCTATTTACAAGAAAGACTCTCTCTCTCTCATCCTCTTTCTCCCCTCTCCTCTCTCTCTCTTCTCTCTCCTCTCTCCTCTTTTTCTCTCTCTCTACTCAAGAGCCACCATAAAAAAGAAGAAACATCGGAGGGAAACCAAATCCCAAGAGAGAAAACAAGGGGAATTAACATGCCTATTTATTAATTCTATCATGTCATTATGCCCATTAAGAAATTAATCAAAAAATTAATTAAACCCCTTAATTATTTCATTTTCTCTTCTACAACAAATCATAGAAGGAATTAAGAGCAATTAATTTAGTAATTAATTTTGAGTATCAAATTCAATTTACTGTCCAACATGAGAAAATGTCAATTTGAACAGTGGATCGGTTTCCATATTCACAATAAATCTCCCACCTGGAGACTAGTACACTGATTGCATCATCCACTACCTGTGTCGCCCTTTTCTTCAAATGTGATATCCTCCAGCTCTACAACTCAAAGCCCCAGTCTTCATGCCAGAAGACCAGCTGAAGTCGAGCACAACTTCAGTTTCTTAAGAGTAACACCCTTAGTCGACATATCATCATCAACATAATTCTGTACCTCCATGCTCTTTCTTGGCTTACGCCTGTATCTGCTTATAACTCCCACTGCATGGGCAATATCCTGCCTGTACTGAAAGCCTTTTTCAACAAGTCTAGCCATGTACCTCTTATTGCCATAACACTCAGTCTTCACCCGATACACCCACTTGTTGTGCAATGCATTCTTCCTTAGTGGAAGTTCTGTCAGCTCCACTTGCTCGAATTTTCATCTTGCAAGATTTCTTCATAGCTATGTAATTCTTCACCATCTGTCTGTGAAAAAATAGGAATGGATGCCCTGGACTCATCTTCACTTCCATCACTACCCTGCACTGTGACTTCTGATAAATTAACAAACTTTACCTTTCTACAACAACTAGAGCCTCCAAGAGATGCCACTAGAGAAGATCCCCACACATCTATGTGTACAAGATCCAGTTTTCCGGCCCTTGGCGCTCTGTCACCTTTCAAGAAACTAACCTTCTCCTGCTTCCCCACAATGCACCTATAGCTCATGTGCCCACGTCTGAGTAAACATGTAGTCATATATAACGTGTCAGTTTTCTTACCCTAAGTCGCCCACGTCTGAGTAAACATGTAGTCATATATAACGTGTCAGTTTTCTTACCCTGAGTCGATACTAATGCTCATTTGGTAACCTTCCAGGTGCTATCTGAGAACACTAGTAAATGACCACCCTCATTGAGGTTTTTCTTCAACTCAGGAACGTGTATGGCCTTTCGCAAAGTCATTTGCTCTTGTTAGGGAGTGCACTATCAGTGCATCCCATCCCCACTAAGTTCAGAGCTTTTACATTATCCAAATATACATTCCCAAAATTATCTGCAACATAATTTTACATTAAATCATAGTGGGAAGATGTATGGAAGAAAGTCACTGAATCCAGTATCAACTCATTAATAGAACTGTGAACTGTCAGTAATAGTGCATCTTGTATTTCCTCGGTTATCACATTTGCGCTATCATTCTCCTTTTTCGAATTCCTGCAGTTCTTATTTATGTGGTCAACCTTGCCACAATTCCAGTAGGTTGCCTGCTGACCAGACTTTAATTTTGATTTTTTTCTATTTGAGTTCCTGCCCTACTTGCCTATGATCTCCCTTTGGAATCAACATTCAGTGTCGAACTTGAACCCAAGGTCTCGCCAGAATCTTTCTAGAACTCATGGAATTGTAAGGCTAGACCCTAAATTAAATCACGAATATCATCATATTTTAGTTTACATTTACCTGCAGAACTGCTAACTGTCATTTTCATGACTTTCCAGCTATTTGACAATGAAGCCAACAATATCAGTGCACGTATCTTACAATCAAAATCAATTTCAACAGAAGACAATTGATTTGTGATAGTATTTAAATCATTCAAGTGTAGACACACTTTCCGTCATCTTTAAGTTGAATAACTTTTTCATTAGTTGTACCTTGTTATTAGTCAATGATTTTTCATACATACCTGATAAAACCGTCATGAGATCTGCAGTAGTCATCTCATTGATGATGTTGTGGTCAACTGATCTCGACATGGTAAATCGAATAACCCTCAGAACTTATCGATCCAACAAATTCCATTCCGCCTCATCCATCTTTTCTGATTTCTTTCTGAATAACGACAGGTGAAGTTTCTTCCCATATCACTTTGTCTCCGCCCATCGTTATTCCTTAGATCTGAAACCACGACTCTGATATCAATTATTATGAAAAATGACGATAATAAAGCGAAAAACTGGATCGACAAAAATTCACAAATAAAAAGCACAATGGGAACACACGGATTTACGTTGTTCAGCAAATTGCTTACGTCCACGAAGTTACAGAGTATTTTATTAGCTTGAGGAATTGCACTGTCGAACACCTCGACGTTTAAAAAAAACTCTTTTATTTCTCCCCTCTCCTCCCTCTATATTCTCTCTCCTCTCCTTCTCTCTTTCTCTCTACCGAGAGCCACCATCAAGAAGAAGAAACGCCGGAGAGAAACCAAATCTCGAGAAAGAAAACAAGTGGAGCTAGCATGCCTATTTATTAATTTCCTATTTATTAATTTCCCTATTTATTAATTTCATCATGTCATTAAACTCATTAAGAAATTAATCAAATAATTAATGAAGCCCATTAATTATTTCATTTTCTCTTACGCAACAAATCATAGAAGGAATTAAAAGCAATTAATTTCGAGTTTCAAATCCAAATTGCTGTCAAACATTAGAAAATGTCAATTTGAACAGTAAATCAGTTACCATATTCGCAACATAAACCTCAATATCAAAATGACAGCTGTCAAACATGAGAAAATGTCAATTTGAACAGTAAACCAGTTACCATATTCGCAACATAAACCTCAATATAGAAATGACAAAGACCGACATTTCAACTTGAGGGAGAAAACTTGAGTGTCATATTCCTGTCAACGGGAGATGTGGCGTTAGACCAAAGAGTAGAGGCCAATTTTGTGATGCCAAGATTAATGTCATGACTTTGGCCCAAGCGGAAGCAAAGCCCAATCGAGGCCGCAATGCTAAAACAATGTTGCAGTCCAATCAAGTGGATCTGACAGCATGTCACTGAAAAAACAACATCAATCAAAACCAATCGCACCACCACAAAAGCAATGACATGCATCCACCCGTGAGATGAAATGATAAACAAGCCCTCAAACTGACATTGAGACCACATTTCCCTCTCTAATATTCTTTCTATCAGTACATTATTGCGCCATCAAAATGACCTAAACCATATTACATGATAAAAATATTACAAAATAATGAAAAACAACACCCGTTTATGTTACATTAAACTAGTAGAAGTCTCACACGATAGGAATAGAGAACCAAGACGTGGAAAGGCCGGGCGTTATCTTTCAAGAGGGAAATAAGATAATAGCAGGAACATTATCCAGAATGAACTTTAGATAATATTTTTTAAAAATAAATAATATAAAACTTACATTAATAAATTTCTTCCTGCGATGGCATTATCCAATCGTTAAAAGGAGCGATCAGTAAGAGGTAGGTCAACTTCCCTGTCTATTCTGTTTTTGCGGTTATTCCTCGAATCGACCCGACGAGCGCAAATTTCTCACTTTCCCACAATCTTCTTGCAACCCTAAACCGCCCATCGATCAAAATTCCATACCATATTTGTACCTTCACCACCACCACGATCACCATTGACAACAATAGCATCACCGGCCATAATCCCCCCCATGGAGGAAATCCCCTCATCCCCAAGAAACCGCCTCAAGTTTCTCTGCAGCTATGGCGGCCGGATCCTACCACGCCCCTACGACGGACTGCTTCGCTACGTAGGCGGCGAGACCCGCGTTCTATCCGTTCCTCGCGCTGTCTCGCTTAAAGGTTAGTAACATGATCCCAAACATTAAATCTTTAGTAAAAAACTTTTAGAAATTTATCTGATCTGGTCTTTCTCTTGCTGCAGATCTGATGGAGAAGATCACCGGCATGTTCAAAGCGGAGTTGGTGGTGAAGTACCAGCTGATGACAGAGGACCTAGACGCCCTCGTGACTGTCAAAACTGATGAAGATCTGTACCATATGATTCACGAATACGATCGTCTTGAGCGCCGCTCGCGATCCTCCGCCGTCGCCTCCTCCCCGCTCTTTCGCCTCTTCCTCTTTCCTTACCCTGCAGCATCAGCGGCGGCCGAACCCTCCGTCCCTCTCGATCAACGATATGTCGATGCCATCAATGGAGGTCTCGCCATCCACGAACGCTCGCACCACCCACACCCGCGGCCCCTTTTCGCCGTCTGTTCTAATGGGGCCTCGCCTTCCTTACACGGTAATATGGGGGGTGAAGGCATGCATCGGGTGAGGAGCACGCCGAACCTTGGAGGTGGAGGATTGCAGAATGGATCTCCAAGAGCTTACCAGCGGCCTGGCGTGGCCTTCGGGTATGGCGGCGGGTCGGGGTTTAGAATGGGGGCCCCAGGAGGGTTTCATCAGGAGATTGGGTATGGATGTGGGTGTTATTGTGGGTGCGTGGGTTCATCATCGCAACCTCCGCGGAAGTTCGTGCGCTCCCCTCCGACGCAAGGGGGATCGCCACTGGGTAGCTTGGCGGAAGTATCGCCGCCGCGCAGGGGACAAGGGTTCCATCTTGGCCCTCCTATTGCTGGGCCTTTGAGGAGAGGGGTATGAGAGTAAATAATAATCTCCTTTGCCTTCTGCAGTGCTGTTGAACCCCTTGGCGGTGGCTGCTCAGAACGCCATTTTTTTTCTTTGAGATAATTACATACATACCATCTAATTTTTATGTATTTACATATCTACTGTCTAAACTTTAATTAGTTTATCATATAAAAAATATCACTATTTTAATTTAAAAGAAAGAGTAAAATATGCATTTTCATGCATATAAACATTAAAATTTAGGTGTTAGTTATCTAAATACAAGGAAATTGAGTGGTATGTATGTAAATCTTTTTGTTAAGGTGAAAATGAATGCAATATGAGAAAAATATAGTGTGAAACTAATGTGTTGTGTTTTGTTCTATATAAAATAAATATGAGATATTGTATTTTTTTGTTTAATTTGAAGAAAAATAATTTAATATAAAATAAACATATTAAAGTTGGAGTGGTGAGTGTACGGTGACTATGTCAGGACTTAGGTGGTGATGATGGTGGTAGTGAGCGACATTGATGAGTAAGGAATTGTTTGGTTTGTTGAAAAATAAATACAGTATAAAAGGAATACAAGTAAATGCAGGACTTCATTTTTTTTTTTGGTTAAAAAAAAGAAAATCAATGTTAAATACATGGCTAACAAGCACTACTAAAGGACAATGGTAGTGAACCAACAGTGGGCAATGGGTGATCGATGAGTAGTTATGGTAGCAAGTACCTGGTGGTTGCAGGCAGTGCTGGTTGGTGACTACAGGTGACAACGAATGGCTGGGGGGTGGGGGGGCGTTGCGAGTGACAACAATCTATGATGACATTGAATGGTGGGCACATGGATGACTGGACGGTGGGTTGTGAGCATCAATGACAGTGGCTCACAACAACTTGAGCAATTTGCACAATGCAGTGTATTTGAAATCCATTCAAATCCAATATATTTGAAATACATAGAAAATGAACAAGAGAATGAATTCCAACATTTGGAATTTATCCTACTAAACACCCAAAATTTTAAATATGTTTTATTGAATAAAATCATTTCCTTATATGCATTTTTATTTTACCATAAATTATTATTTTACATTTTTAATTATATTAAATTTAATTGCAGGAAAATTTTTTATTTTCCTAACTTAATTATAAAATAAAGCATTTAACTGTTTTGTTTTATCAAATCTCTTCATCTTCCTCATTGCTTCCTTTTCTTTATTATCATCAGCTAGATGAATGGCATAGTTGCAAAATAATGCTATCACCATTCCATGGTAACCGCAACAACCCTTATCAACTTACCATTAGTTCCCCCATTTTTTTCTTTCTTCTTAGCCATCATCATCCCAATTACATGCTAATCATTGACCATCTTATTATGAACTTCTTTCTTATATCTAATGACCATGTTGAATTATTATGAATATGTCATCCATTACATATAGCAATCATGATGGAGTATAAGCTTTGTTTGGATTTATTAAAGTGCTTTATGTTTTAATTTTTACTTACAATCCTTCTAAATAAGATAAGGACACCAATGCTTAGTTAATAATAGAAGTAATAATAGATCATTATATATAAGGTAGTTTTTTAGCACATTATATTATATCTAAGAATTATATTTCAAGTATTTCTTCATGCATCAAGTCTACACCCATTGCTTATTGGATAAATTAACTTTCACTAAGATCAATAACTTTAAATTCAATAAGGCAATTACTTGTGTTACATTTATCCTCTCTTCAAGGAAAAGAAAAATGCCCTCATGAATTTTCTCTCAAAGGAATTACGATAGGCTTTATTTAGTAAATAAAGGAGGGCTACAATATAACAAAGTCTTCTATGATTATTTTTACATATTAATATGATTCCATGAAATTATGCACATTGCCTACATTCTATAGTTACAAACCCTTTAGGCCCTTTACATTCTTCAAGTTAATCTCAAAGTCACCCTTCTTTAGATTCAGACATAGTTGATTCTTTATAGGAGGCTAGACACTCTTAGCATAAGTATGGGATTTTATCCTGCAACTTGACTATAAATGAGTATATCATCGAGCTGGATGATTATAAAGTCTTTAATAGAAGGTATAAAAATGCAAGTCATGTGAAAAGTAAATATTTTGAGTTTATTAATTATAATGATTTAATAACATCATCATCTATTTATATATTCATTAGTTACTTTTGAACACAAATTTTCAAGTGCCTTTCCTTGGATACAAACTTGATGGTAACTCATCTTGAGATCATTTAATAACATCATCATCTATTTATATATTCATTATGTACTTTTGAACACAAAATTTCAAGTGCCTTTCCTTGGATACAGACTTGATGGTAACTCATCTTGAGATCCACCATAAAGAAGATTGAATGACTATAAAAATTAAATCATATAACATTGATTTTATTAAGTGGCATTTATATACACTAATAGGAGAACCTTGAACTTTTTTACTTTTCATTCTTAACTATATTGATTTTATCCACTTGATCTCAACTCAAACTTACAAGGCACCAAAGTTAGAAAGTGAAAAGTATTATTATATTTTTTAAATCAATGATAACCTAAAAGAAAATTCATAGTAAATCAATAAACATCACTACACATTTTTTATTGCATTTAAATCACTAATGAAGGTCATATAAGTCATTCAAAATAATGTGGTCATTAATCTTTCCTTATTTATCAATAAAAAAATTGAAGTTGGTGTAAGGGAATAATATTTGATAGACAAGTAAATTTAAGCACCATTTTAATATACATAGACACTCTATGTATAAGCATCTATAAAGTGTCACTGCTGTCAAATGCTTGTAGTCTTTGTGTCAAATAGATGTTGAATACATGCACAATTCTGATATTTTTGAACATGTGTCTAACACTTGAAATATTATATCAAAGATACTTTACAAAAAAAAAGGGAAAGAAACTAACTCTTTTTTATTTAGTAAGGCACAAGTGGGACCTAACTATGATATGATTACATAAGATCTCAAAATAACAAAAATAGAAGTCACAAAGTAAATAAATTTACTACCCCTCATATTTCCTTAGACACAATACTATTATTTAATTGCACATATGCCTCTTCTTCTATCACAAACCTTATTTCTTCAAACTTGCAAATTTTTGTGGGTGAAAAGTAATGATTGAAGCCAAGCCAAAAATATATGAGCCCTTAGCTTTCTAAATCCAAAACAAAAGTTGTGCCATTATCTGAAATTAAATCAATGTCATGCTAAACATCTTTTAAAAGCAAGACTAAGTCAAGTTCACACAAATCCAAATCCGTGCCCTGATCCCCCTAACATCAAAGTGTTCAACCGCCAAAGTTATATTTATATTATAGTGACGTATGCATCAATTTATTTTAGATGATTAAGACTTTTTTTTCAAAATTATACTTGTTTTTAATAAATTTAATCATTTAACTTGAATTGGACTATGATGATAAATAATTATAGGAATATTAATTTTGAGATAATTAAATAATCTGAGTCTAGGAAACACTTACCTTTCATTATTGATCTCCAATTAGAGATGCTCATGTGTTCATATTTTGTTTTATTATTTTGAAAATGACTTGGTATTTATTTTATATATATTTTTAATATTTTTAAAGTGATAGTAATATTGATAAAATATTTGAAAATTAAAAATGATTAATGAATGCTCATATTTGATTTGATTTCACCAGAATAAATTTTCTTTTAGTGTAGAATAATAGAAAGTATATAATTTATATTAATAATTTATCAAAAAAAAGTTTCTAGTGCATGTTATGCCTCACGTTCTGTAAGTTGTGTCTTCATGTCCACTTTAGTTCATGTACCTATTTTTTCTCATGTTTGTGTTGGTACTTTTAGTTAAATTTATCCAATTTTATTGATGTTACACACATATGTATAGTTCTTCTTATTTTAATATCTATAACTAATTCAAAGTTATTATAGGGTTTATTAAACAAAAATAATAATAATAATATCCTTATAAATGTAAAGTTATTAAAATAAATAACATGTATATAATAAAAAATAATTAAAAATAACATGCTTAGAAATAAAGACAAAAATAGAAAGTCAATTGTATAAATAGTTTTATACTTGACATGATGGGTACAACATTAAATTGATAATTCTTATTTTCATACAAAATCAAACAAATTATCATATGCTACTCTTGGATTTTAAACATAACTTACAAGAATCAAATTTATATTCACAACATTAAATTGATAATTCTTATTTTCATACAAAAGCAAACAAATTATCATATGTTACTCTTGGATTTTAAATATAACTTACAAGAATCAAATTTATATTCGTAAACCTATGTAAAAGTTCATATCATGCAAAGGTGACTGATCTCTAAGATCAATATGGTAGATTTTGAGATATTATGAAATATCATGAATTCACAATGATATTCATCCAAACACACTATGATCAAATGCTTATATGTGTTAGATGAATGCCAAATAAAATTTATTTAGTTAATTATCTCCTAAAATGCATCTTATTAGTTTAATTAAGTGTTTCATATCAATTTTAACAAGCTAGTATAAAATGCTCATGGGATCAAATCTATAATACCCACGTATACAAGTATATTTAGAAAATGTATCATAATACCATCCATTAGGCTAGTTGAGAAAATTATTTGAGTTAAGATAGGGTAGTATTATTCTACTTAAAATTTTGATGAATTTTTTTTTTTGTAAAAGTTTTAATATATAATTTGCTAAATTTAATAAAGATTACGATATCTTAATATATGAGCAAATTTTATTGTAAAAATTATAGAATGTTATTTTCTACTTATTTTACAAATATTGATATAACTATATTATATTTTTCATCTGGTATTTAATATATAATAATATTTTTTTCTAAGTTTGTAAGGTTTTAAAAGTTGATAAAATTCGTTATGGTATGCCTATTCTATTTATATGATATAGTTATATTTTCATTCCTTCAATCCTTCATCCATTACATATATGGGGCCATCTATCTAGTGAGGATAGCCATCCTTCTTAGAAAAGTCTACCTCTACTTTAATTAGTCATTAAATTTAACACAAAAATGCATGCAAAGATA